GGGCGGGGGGAACAGGTGGGTCAACGACCGGCGGCTTTTTCTTTCACTAACTCTGGCCCTGTATTGTATTTTTTTTACATGTACCTAACGACACTTTTTTTTAACGTATCCACCTCAGTTTTCGCTGTGCAAGGGGAGCGACTTCCCTGTGGAGCTGGTACCACCGTGACAGGTAGAAGGTGGAAGTGGCTTTTTTAGACTGCGTTTGGCCATGGCACTGAACTCTCAGTGAGCACTGAAATCCAGTCTGGTTCATGAGAAAAATAAAAAAAGCAAAGCCATTCAGATTTCATCTCCTAGGCTGCAATTTAGCCAGAATCTGTGTAAGTATACTGGAAATCTGGAACAAATTTATGTGGGTCTTAAACTTCAATTACCCAGTCTAAACAAAGTTAAACCAAAGTATTGAAGTTTATCATATACCACTTTACCTGATACTACTCTGTTTTGAGGGGACAGTGCAACACCATCTACCTTTTCTTACATGTCTCTCTCTGGCAGTATTGTTTCTAGTGCAATTATGTCCATAAGGTCCCTTTTCACTCTGTCCCTGCATTTTGATCACAGAACCATAGAATGTTTTGAGTTGGAAGGGACCTTAAAGACCATCTAGTTCCAACACCCCTGCCATGGGCAAGGACACCTTCCACTAGACCAGGTTGCTCAAAGCCTCATCCAGCCTGGCCTTGAACGCTTCCAGGGATGGGGCATCCACAGCTTCCAGAGAAGCAACCTGTTCCAGTGCCTCACCACCCTCTCTGGGAAGAACTTCTTCCTGATATCCAATCTAAATCTCCTCGCTTTCAATTTAAACCCATTACCCCTTGTCCTGTCACTACAGGCCCTTGTAAAAAATCCCCCCCCCCCCCCCCAACTTTCTTGTAGGTCCCCTTCAGGTACTGGAAAGGATACTGGAAACAATCCAGGTACTAGATATTTAGGACATGCCCATAGTAATGATAATCCATTTTATATTTTACATACTTGCTTAGAAAAGTATTTTGTATGCAATTATGAACTGTGGGAATCTTAAGGAATCAAGACTTTGAAATTACTTTATAAAAACAATGGAAGTAGTTCAATTATTTTACTCATCCTAACCTAGACTTTATAAGTCCAAGCAAATTTAATCAGTACTGTCACAGGAACTGGAGGATACGAGTTTCATTTAAAAACAAACCCAAATGCTCATATTTTGACCACTGAGGTACTTCCTGGCTATAGCCCCACACCAAGTTCATCAGATTCTGCAGTGCAAACAACAGACGCAGATGAACAGCAGCTAACCTGACATTTTCCTCATTGACTTGTTCCATCTCTGTCTCATTTAGCATCAGAAGCAAGAGGACTGCAGAGGGTTTACTTAAAATGCTGTTCTTTTTTTAGGAGCTTCATTGCAGAAAATAACCAATAACTACCTTAATTTTTCACTAACGTCAACACTGTATCACATAAAGAATTCTTACCTTTTTGATAATTCTCATCACTGCTGAAAATACAGATTTTACTGATTCCCCGATCTCTAGAGCGTTCAGGCACAGGAGTATCTGATATATCAAGCCTCCTCCTGGTTATTCATAAGGGGGAAAAAAAAAGGGTTTACATTAGAATTTCCAATATAATTACAATTAATTTAAGCTTGCAAAATCATTTTCCTTAAGAAATGTAACACCATTACTTGGAACGTAGTTCTGGAGGGCATCTGAGAAAGGCTTTTTGACATCAAACGGAGAGTCAGCTAGTGAACCGTCCATTTTTTCCTCAGAATTTACTGAAGGAATCGCTGTTGCTGTTGCATGTTGGTCACTGTCGCCTTCACTGTCTACAGTCATTTCATAGTCCTTCCCTGGTGCCTCTCCTAGTAGCTTTCTTCTACTGCCTCCTCCTACAAATAATTGTGAAGGGAAATCATGCTTATTTTCAGAGGATTCAAGTTAACACACACCACTTGTATAAGATACTAACCTCTACAGATGTTGATTTATTTACCTCAACTTATCAGATCCTCAAAATACCAAACATCAGTCATTAACTGCTATGAGCTGGGTTTGCTACCTCTTGATTTTAAATCATTAGAAGGAGACTGTTTTTTCTGTTGTATTTTTTGCCTCAAACAAAGCTTATTTGTTCTTGCTAAATCACTGTTAGTGAAGCATTAGTCCAGTACCCCTAACTGCAGAGCTGCAGTTTGGGCTGCACACTGAATTGTTACAGCACACAAAAGCTCTGACAGCTCTAGAAGAACATTCCTGTTTTCCATACATTTTTCCTGCCCGGTATCGAAATTGTGCCCCTTTTGTGCAGACACAATCACTTGTTTCCTCTGCACAACATTGTCTTTACATGAGTAAGCTGTGATTTCATGATGGATCTTTTCAAATTGCTGGTGTGGCTGCATCGGTTTGTGCTAAGGGTTGCTTAACAGAGAATCACAGAATGGTTTGGGTTGGAAGGGACCTTAAAGACCATCTAGTTCCAACCCCCCTGCCATGGGCAGGGACACCTTCCACTAGACCAGGCTGCTCAAAGCCTCATCCAGCCTGGCCTTGAACACTTCCAGGGATGGGGCATCCACAGCTTCTCTGGGCAACCTGTTCCAGTGTCTCACCACTCAAAGAACTTCTTCCTGATATCTAATCTAAACCTCCTCACTTTCAATTTAAACCCGTTACGCCTTGTCGTGTCACTACAGGCCCTACATCTTGTTTTAACTTTAAATAAAACTGTTGGAATATAATCAAACAGGTTTGGTAAATGTGACTGTTTATCATACCAAATTTTCCTAGTGCTGCTTGGTTTTGGGGACATGAACTCTGTCTGCCCTACTGTGACTCTGTCAATTTCCTTGTTTTCATTCATTCTGCAGCAGCATTTTTGCCAGAATGCCAAGCTGTCCTTCCTCACATGTGTCCTCATTGATTTCTAAATCAATTTCAAGATTTTCTGCCCCTTCTATGGATTTAATACTATCTTCTTGTTCAGATTCCTTTTCTCTTAACTCCATCTCATTCTTCTGTGAAGTGTTTAATTCTACCAGCCCCTAGTGTCATCCCTGTTTTCATTTGGGGTTTTTTGACAAAATATATATCCTCAGACTTTTTTTTTCTTATGCTTAATTGTTAGTTTTACTAACTATATCTGCAAAGAATCCTGATGGTATGGTAAAAATACTACCTGGAACCCCTTCTGTTAGAATGTAATTATATTATTTATATTTCTGGGCTTTGGCTCTCTCTGATTTTCAGATTCGTTTTTCCTTTCCCTCTCCTATCTTGTTTTAGTAGCAGCAATTAATTTTTCAGTATTATCCATCCTTGCAGTTACAGCAGTGTCTTCTTTTTCAACATATACTTTATCAGCCATGTATCGAAGCAGTCCCAAGTTGCTGAGATTTAATCAATGGGGGTTTTTTAATAGCAGTCTGGCTTTCTAGTTTGAGGGGTTAAGGAAACACTAACTTTAATGCCTTTTTTTTGTTTTTTTCCTCTTTAAAAATTACCCTATCAAGTTTAAAATAGGAGACAAAAGTTCATGCTTAGTCAGACTAATATCATGCAACTGCTCTGTTGGTTATTGGCACTGTATTTTTTTTTTTACTTGGATTCAGCTGAAGACTTTGGTATTGATTTTGCCTTTTGAAGTAGTGTTTGATGATGCCTTCCAAAACTCAGATTAATTTTCTGTATTTTTGTATCTTGGACTGTCAGAATGGCTTGAATTGATGGTCCTAAATCTGATATTACAGAATAATCTTTTCTTTGACTATATCACATGTGATTTTTGTATGTCTTTCTATGATCTGCCTTAAGACTGTCCTCTGCCCCATTCTCTGGTACCAGAAGCTCATGTTGGAAACATGAATCTTCCCATGTTATTTCTGCTTTACGTTTCTGATGACATTGCACGTTCATAGGAATTTGACAAGCTATCAGCAAGAGCATCAAGTGTTATCCTATCTTTCACTGATCTTTGCAGATCAGTAGATTTTTGTTAGTTTTTTTTTCCCCTCCACTGCCCTGTTTGTTATTTTGCATTGCCAGCTGAAAGGAAAGATCATTCTCTTTGGAGGTATCTGCATTACTGTTATCTGATTCGTTATGTTTAATTTTCTGATTTGAGGTACCTTCAGTTTCTGTTCCCCACAGTATTTTATAAAGGCTTATACTGAGGCTTTTTTTCACCATGGAAGCCTAGTTCTTCTATTCTCATCAAGCAGCTTTTACCTTCCATTCTGAAACTCCATGGGTCTTCCAAGTGGCCAGTTTCTTCTGAAGGTCTGGTATCTGTTAAACTGAAGCCACTGGATAAGTGGTGGGGCGAGAAAGGTTGGTCTGGAGTCAGTTCTTGGAACTCCTCAGATTTCTGATCCTGTTCATCATTAAAAATATGCTGACTGAAATCTCTGATGTTTTTTTCATAAAAACCCAGTGGGTCTTTTTTATTCTCTGGTTTGTGAATTTCCTCTTTTTCATCACCACCCATTTGGGACTGGCTTTTCAGTGCTGAGTTTTGTTCTGTATCACAGCATTTGACTGGTTTTCCTTTCCCAGATGTTTCCAGAGTAAGACTAGGCTCACTGACACATGCGGCCTTCTTGATGTCTGGATGACTGTCTGCAGCTCCTGGCAGTTCCCCATAACTTGGTAATTTGTTTTCGGAATTTACAGATTCTTGAACACAAGTGTTGATGTTATTTTGTTCTTTTTGTGATGTTTCAACTGTTTCCATTTCTGATTTTCCCTGCAGATGAGTTCCAATTTCCAGTGTGTTTTCAAAATTTAATTTTGAAGGTAAGTGTAGAGAATCTTTGGAGACATGGTCGTTATAATAACCTTTCATATTAGTGTTTTCCTGACTCTTAAGTCCTTGAGATACTTCATGTTGTACTGGTGTTTTGACAGATAACGTTTGTGAAGCATCACTATCACCAACTAATTTGACAGAACGTTTTGCTTTTTCATTACTGCGTTCATTATTTTGTGCAGAGAGCGAGGAAAACAGGTTGCCTTCTTGGATTACACCCTCAGCTTTTTCAGATGACTCCTCATTAACTCTCTGATTTGCTCGTACTTTCATTGCTCTGTTACTTTCTTGTAATATTTCATCATCATTTTCAGTTTGAGAAGTTTCTTCACTGAAAAACACATCATCTCGCAAACTCTGCATTTGCTCTTCTTTAGCCACTGAACTACTAAGCTTCAGTAGGTCTGCAAAATGACTAAAAGAGAAGAAATGGCTCTGTTCTTCAGATATGTCAGGCTTTTTTTCTGTATTTTTTGTGTCTGAGGGGTCACGAGTCTGAGGTGTGCTAGGAGAAGAAGAAATCTGATCTGATGCGATAGATTCAGGTCCCTGTTGATTGTCATATGTGTCCACATTATAATTAATAAAGCTATTATAGATGTCTGTATACCAACCTGACTGGCTGTGTTTGCTTTCTGACTCCTGATTTCTCTTTTTATCTTCATTGGTTTTCAGCAGTTGGTTTTCCGATACCAAGTCTTGCTCTGAACTGTAAGGTTCCATTGGCTTCTCTTTGTCACCTGTTGGTGTATCAAAAGATGATTCTGTGCTATTTGTGGTGCCTTTGGTGTCATTAAGAGTACCCACACCTGCCGATATCTCCCCAGGGTTCGGCATGGCACTGTTTGAATCTATTATTTCATGTGCATAAATCTCTTCCTCTGTCCCTGCTTTAACTGTCTCCTTTGATTCTTCGTCCACGTGTGATTCTTTCGGGTCTGAAGTCTGCACTTCTTCATTCTTATTTGCGTCACCCTCTGTTTCTCTGCTTGGCTGGTCTTCCATAGCAACTGCATCTTTCTCAGCATGGCCAAAATTAAGAACATTACTTAGTCCCAAATTGAACCAATTTGATTTGGATTCTTGGCTTTCAATCTTTTCTTCTCCTGTCAGTAACTCTGTGACTGCTGTTTCCTGCTCATTACTGGAATGTCCAGGCACACCAGAAACATCACGGATTTGTGGATCATGTTTTTCTAATGCCAAACCAACATCCGCATTCTCTTCTCCAAAATACAGGAAGTCTGTTATTCCACCTTGAAACCAAGCAGATGCTGGGGGTTCTTTGTCCTCCTTATCATTTGGCTCCTGTAAGTCATTCTCAGCAGTTACCACTATTTTTCTGCCTCGGTATGTATTTTCTTCTAAAGACTCAGTAATGGCTTTTAAGGGCTTTTCATCATTTTTACTTCCTCCACTGAACCATCCTGCAATCCAACTAGACTGGGTTGCGATGGGTTCTACTGGGAGGCTGTTTTGCATTTGTGGCTCTTCAGTATCGTCTTTGCTGTGCTCGTTTTTGATAACCAACTTCTGGCTTGCAGACTCCTCCTGAGTGTGGGATTGCTTGGCATCATTTTCAGAAACCGATTCTACTCTTTCTTCCTTTTGCATGGAGTCTCCTGCATGTCTTAAGAGTTCATTTTTGTGCAGCTCTGATTCTGCGTCAGATGATGAATGTTCCCTTTCTTTGCTGTGATCGTGTAATGCGCTATCTTCATTTTCAAAAGTGTACTTATCTCCGTGAAGACAAAGGAAATCAGTTTCCTAAAAGAACAATGTTACCTTTTAAAATGTTTTCATGTGTAATTTTCTACAGCACTGTGTAGCCCAGCAATATATCTTTATTCTCCTTCTTTCTGTGTAGTTGTACACTTTGTATAACTTTACACAAAGGACTGCAAGTAATTATATTATTCCTAATGGTTCTATATTATTTATTAGATAATTATTTTAGAGACCAATAAACATGCAAATGGAACAACAATAAAAAATGTTTTTAATTTAATGTGTAACAAAATACACATTGACACTCGAGTTTCTAACTGGATTTCAGATCTTCAACTGCTGTGAACTACACTGGAAAATCTGGTGATGTTGGCTTACCTTAGTGAGCACTTCAACTTCTTCTGCAATAAGAACCTCCTCAACCTTCACAGCATCTTTTGGGAAATACCCAAATTCCTTTCCTTTCTATAAATAATATAAAAGGAATGAGAACATTTAAACTTCAGTGATAAATCCATCAGGCGATTGCATATATGCTAGACAAGTATGAATAAAGAAACAATAAGCTTATAGGACTGCCCCTACCTTCTACCCCCTTCCTGTTGTTTGATCAGAAGCTTGGTTTAGTTTTCCTCCACAAACGTGTTCCGTTTGCCATTTCAGAAAGGAAGGGGAAGTATATTACTCCATACTGTTATTTTCTGCATTATTATTAGGAACGTGTCTTTGTGCAGTACCAAACCAATAGCCTTAACAGTGCTTCAGCTGAAGACAGTGGTGTGTGCCCAGGTGGTCTCAGCCAGCTCCTGCTAAAATCTGCTGCAAATTTCCCATTGGCTCAAGTGGGAGAAAAATTGTGCCTTAATAACTACTGACCCATAAGGAGTTATAAGAAAAGTAGGATATGAAATTCAGGTATGATGCTAGCTGAAGAGAAAAGGGCAATGAAGATTGAAACACTAGAGAAAATGGGTTGATGATAATGCCCAAAAGAATCAAGTAAGGGTCAGTCTGCCTAGAAACCAACCACTGGCTTTACATCAAGGCCTTGCACATAGCCTTTAACGGAGGAAGAGTGAGGTGCCTGAAAAGACACTCTTGGATTTAAAGAAAAAAGGAAGACAGAATTTCACTGTTAAACAATAAATGTGACAGACCATTCACAAAAAAGTGAGTTCACCAATATCTTCTGGTTTTGAAGCACTTACACAGTTTTACAAGCAGTTGGATTTGGATCAATGCGCCTATTCCTTCTTAGGTATAACATAACTACATGACTGTTGTAACTACATTGTCAGTTGTTCCAGATCCTTAAACACGTGTGATAACTTCTCTGGGAATGTTCCTTAAGCACTGAACTGTGAAGTCAGGTCCCAGTACTGGAACGCTGATTAAGTAACTGTAAAACCTACTTACTCACAGGCCTGTAGGTAGGTACCTGCCTGGCCTGATAGACCTGAATGTTCTTAAGGGAACCAGGTGAAATCATGATACTGAAATGATTAATGAAGAAAACAGAAGACTTAGATTCCAACCTTGACTTTATTTTTCTATGAGGGATCTTTGCCAAGATTTGATTTTTCACTTTCTATATAAAACCAGTAACAATAACCCACCTCCCAGATGAAGGAAGGTGTCCCTGCCCATGGCAGGGGGGTTGGAATGAGATGATCTTTAAGGTCCTTTCCAACCCAAACCATTCTGTGATTCTATGATACATCGATCCATGGCTGGTTAATATTACAAAAGAGATGGAAGATCCCTAGAAGCAAGCAGACTGCAATCGTTACACTATTATTATCTCAGTTATGGGAAAAGTTTCAGATCGAAGTACTTACACTTCCTGTCCACAAATTTTCATTTTTCCTTGAAAGTTTGGAGTATACCATTATCTCTTCCCCTATTTTGAAGTTAAGATATCGGCAATCGGGCCCTAAGTAGTCTGCAATGGCTTGAACTCTGCTCATTGCTGCTGGAATAGTATGTAAAAAGAAAGAAACAAATCAGTACAGCAGCCATGTTGTCTGAAGTCAGGTTACTGAAGAAGTCTGATATCTATAAATACAGTAAAATGTTTGTTAGTACATTGATATGTCCTGTGCTATGATACTAATCCATTTATATCATCATGTGGAAAGCAACTAATGAAAAAGGCAGCCCTATTTTCTTTCCTATTTACTAAAGACACCAAGGAGAAAAGTTCTTGTCCTATATGGGCAATTTCCAGTTCTTATTCAGCCAGGCTTTCAGTGCTGAAATGCATGTGGAGAATTGGCAAGTTCAACTACTAAAACCAGATCTAAACAAATGAAAAATAGTTCCCAGACGTATTTATAATTGTGATTTTAGAAATTCTAACTTAAACATAGTAATTTTTTTCAGGGATTTCGTCTGTTACTTTGCATACATTTATATTATTAAGAAAATAGGTAAGTTAAAGCAATATAAACCTTGAACACATTGTCCAAAACAAACTCACATTCTCTTTGCTTCCACCCCTATCTCCCTACAGAAACTGCTACTGGTGCTTGGGTGAGTTTAGAGCCCACTGCAGATGCTGTTCAACAAAGACATGTATCTCTGAGCATCCAGAACCCACTGAAGTCAGCGTGGCTCCACAGGAAAATAAAGATCCATAAACAAACTTTCCAATTCAATTTGAATGACGTCACGTTCTCTTTGCTTCCACCCCTATCTCCCTCCAGAAACTGCTACTGGTGCTTGGGTGAGTTTAGAGCCCACTGCAGATGCTGTTCAACAAAGACATGTATCTCTGAGCATCCAGAACCCACTGAAGTCAGCGTGGCTCCACAGGAAAATAAAGATCCATCAGTGGAGAAAATCTAAGCTGTCTTCCACTTCAGGACAAGGTATCCACATTGCACGGGCAGCAGTTAAGGCTGCCAAACCAAATGGGGACAGCTTACAAACAGCTTCAAATACACATGGTTATGTCGGGTTTCACAGTGGTAATCAGTGGATAATAAATGGGGCATTATCTGCCACTGCCCACTTGTGATTCAGTGGCTCTGCCTCCTGCAGAGCTGTTTACTCCCCAGGAAGTCCATGACTAGTTACTGCTCTTACTTCAGGTTAAAGAACAAAAAATAAGTAAAGAGGATATATTAACAGTATCTTTTGTAAAAAGAATGACAACAAACCCCAAACCAACCAGTTTTGCAGTTATTATGCAGTAGATAAACCACATACAATATAACAACAACCAGTTATTATACAGTAGATAACACAGAGTTTTGCAGAATGGGCTGTGAGTGTACGAATAAGACAGAGAGTTGTCCTTCTCAGTTTATAGCCTACCATTTTCGGGTTTTTAAACTTTCGTTTGTACCTGTGAAGGCTGAGGTAAAAATACTTTAAAGCTGCTTTATACTGCCAGTTTTGAGGAAACCTGAGAAAAACTAGCTATTCAAGAGTATTTTTACTGAACTTTGATCTTTATATACTTACACAACACAATCCAGCAAGTGCTTTTTTCCCTCTGAAAAGTTTTAAGCTTATTGCTCATAAACTTAGTATATCGACAACAAATATTTTCTGTGGCAACTCATTTCGGTGTGTTTCCTTGCTATTTTTGACATTATTGTTCGTATTAGCTGTACATACACCACAGACTCCTTCAGAAAAAAAAAAACCAAACCAAAACAATAAAGAACAAAACAAGTCTTTACTTACTCTCACATTCTCGATCGCCACACTTCTTCCATTCTGAAAGTACCTTTGCACTCTGCAGACTTGTTAAAAATGAAATTACTAACAGCAGAATTCTCCAATCCAAGATCCTTGACATTTTAGATTAAATCTAGAATGCACTGAAACTGTGGAAACTGCATTGATGTGCAGTCAGCAAGAATATTCTGCATTGTTTTTCTTAGCCCAACAAAACATTGCAAATAAATTTATCACCTTATTTTCCTTCTCTCATCTTCTTGAACAGAAGTACACTGTGCTAACCTGCTCACAGTCTGCAAAGTCAGGTGTCCTGATTATACACACACGTTTAATAATTAACTATGTTCTGATAGCTAGGCTGGTGTTTTGAATACAAAGAAACTAGTTCTAGTCACATCAAACTCCGGCTTCTGTCAGATAGGTTCTTTTGTATGGAGTTCATGGAAAGCTCTGATTGGGGAAATTCAACAAGAGTTGTATTAGGATTTTTTCTGGATTACGAATGCATTTTTAACATCCATCTTCCATCTGATTTTAAGATGGACTATCAATTTTATGCTTATATAGATTTGCATGATTGCCATTATAGGTACTGACAATTTTCTGGCTTTTTTTGTTGAACGTGCACGGATATGCTTTAGGTTATTTATAGGCGGTCATTGGGAACTCAGAACAAGTTTTTTCCACATCCTCTTTTGGAGTTTTCTCACACACTAGATGCTAAGTCCAGTCCTTTAGCATGGGCAATACTTACTCAGCTCCAAAGTCTCTTAAAGGTTCTTGGCAGTTTTCAGGCTCTTAAGACAACTAGAAAATCCATACGCTATCTCTACAGAGATAGCATCACAGAGCTGAGCAGATGATTTGTCCAGCTTTTTAAGGAACACCCTGTTTCTTAGCAACCTATTATCCCATATGGAGTCATAAATAATGTTTTCTCAAACACAGGCTATGCTTTAAAGCAGCCATTGTGCAGGGAGTTGTACACTGATTATATAGGTTGTGCTATAAATGAAATCTCGCAGAAAGGCTTGCATTAGAAGTAAGCTTTCCTTCAAAGGCTTCACATCGTTGTCCTGCTCTTCCTCGGCGACCTAAGCACAGCACGTCTAATTTACCTATGAAGGGGCTTCACCTTTCCTTTCCCACTCGCCTGCCTGGGGTAGCCTCTTCTCTCTCCCTTCTTGACAGCGCCCCAAGAATCTGCATTCCTTCCCAACCTGATAGTATTTGCAGTTATATGCTTCCTAGCACCCCTGCCCCTCCTTCAGTCCTGAGCATGACTCATGCAGAATCTATGAACCTAAGCCATATCCTACTTGCGGGCACAGTTCCCCCTCCCTCCTGCTCCGCAGCTCAAACCTGCCAGGCACTGGTGCTTAGCCTGATCGACTGAGCCAGCAAACGGATCATCTGCTGGAGGTTGGGAGAGGGCACAAAGCGAGCCAGGGTCACGCTGACCAGCGATGTCCTGCAAAGAAAAAAAATCACAGCGGAAGTAACGTCCTCCAGTTGCAATCTAACACTTTGGCCCCTTCCTTTGCCACATGACCTGGTAGTCAGACAGGCCTATCCTATGACCTAGTATACCAGCTGCTGCTGCTGTTAGGTAATCCACCGGAGTGCACCAGGGAAAATACACCACGCATCAGTGCCCGCCACTCACTCCTGACCAGCTATGATGTGGACAAGAGGGTCAGTGACTGGGGATCCTCCCTGGGGTCCTCTATGTTTGTCTGTAGGAGGTGAAGGGAGAGAAATGGAATGCCAAGTAGCTAAAACATGGCAAACACAAAGAAACCTGGTGAGAAGTTTGATAGGCACCTTTCCCACCCCCCCACCCCCAAATCTGTACAGATTAGGACAGATGAGTGAGAAGGAATATACAGGAAATTCGTATTGGAGGGACTCTTTCTGTATAGTGAGTGTTGTACAAAATAAAAACAAAAGACAATATTTTTATCTCACCAAGATTAACAACTGGTCAAAAGAGTCTTTCATAATGTTGCATACCAACCATGGAACATGGGACAAACCCCAGTAATGCACCTGGGAAGGCTAACAGTCCCTTTTTGAGCCTGGCAATATGGAGCCGATTCACCTAAAAAGGGAAGAGCTGGGTAGTCTGACACCTAAAATTACATACTTCAGTGAATTTATGTGGGAGGACTAACGATCAGACCCACATCTTGAGAACTGCACATTATTACTCCATTTGTCAAAACAGCCCTGAAAATGGATCTGACTTCTGTTTCATATGGATACCCAAACTAATTCTCAAGTTCTTATATGGATATAAAACGTTGATTCTCATCCTAGCTATGCAGTTCATTCTGCATCTGCAGTTTTCAAGTTATCCTGGGCACTGGTCATTGTGTAGCTTAGTCTCAACAATCATAGAATCACAGAATGGTTAGTGTTGGAAGGGACCTTAAAGACCATCCAGTTCCAACCCCCCTGCCATGGGCAGGGACACCTTCCACTAGACCAGGTTGCTCAAAGCCTCATCCAGCCTGGCCTTGGACAATTCCAGGGATGGGGCATCCACAGCTTCTCTGGGCAACCTGTTCCAGTGCCTCACCACCCTCTCTGTGAAGAACTTCTTCCTGATATCTAATCTAACCCTCCCCACTTTCAATTTAAACCCGTTCCCCCTTGTCCTGTCACTACAGGCCCTTGTAAAAAGTCCCCCCCAGCTTCCTTGTAGACCCTTCAGGTACTGGAAGGCTGCAATAAGGTCTCCCCGGAGCCTTCTCTTCTCCTGGCTGAACAAGCCAGTCATTCTTCCAGGTCTGAAGCTGTTACAAGGCTGACGAGCACTGTTCTGATGCATGATCTGTGTTATTTGTTCCTCTAGTAGCTTCAATAATAAATTGTATTTATATCAAATATTCTTTTCTTCCAGGTGTAAATCCTATACATGCAGATGTTACACAAGAGTAACTTCTAATCACCTGTGAACTAAAGTCAAAGATGTAGATTCATGAAGTTTATCATAGCTGGCTTCCAAAGGACAACGGTAAAAGCTTTACAACAGATGGACTGAGACTTCAGTTAATTTCTCTTCTGCAGAACTGAAGCAACAAGTGTGAATACAAGCAAAAGCAATGCTAATGAAAGAGTAAGATCTACTTCCAACAGCTTTTGCTAGGATGGAACTTAACTTTTTATTTGCAGTGACATTTCAGTAACTTTAACTACTAAACTGGAAATGTAGCGATCCCTTATGATACATGAAAATTCACAGAAGGATCAACACGGAGTTAATGGTGTAACTTAAGTAAGCCAAGCAGTACGGCACATGGGATGGCTCTGTTAGGATGTGATTTTGTATAAGAGATGCTACATTTCCTAGACTATTCAGTATCTGCCTTAACAATAAAGATCCCAAAGTAAATCCTAAGTTGGTAAAAGTTCTCTGAAGTACCTAAAAGTCAACTCCTGTTTTATAACAACAACAGTATATACAGCTGTGGTTGTAGTTTTGAGAGCGCCTAAAGGCTCCACACAGGACGCAGGGTTTCCTTGTGCAGAATATTGCACGAATATGTGGAAGAATACAGGCCATCCAAGAGCACTGTAAAAATATAGTTCTCTTGACTTAGGACATTTGGATGAAAATGGAAATCAACTTTTACACTGAATCAAATATCATGCCAAAAACTTTTTTAAAAAAGAAGTATCTTTTAAAAATTGATAAATCAAAGGAAACAAAAAGGAACACTGTTTCAACTCTTCCAGTTCGACAGATCTAACCAGGTAACAGTCATTCATCATCCAGACTTAAACCAACCCTTTTTAGCCTGGATAACAAATAGCAAGAAAAAGCCATTATTGCTTCCCTATTACAAAAACAGCTACAAGCATGACAACTACCAGTGCATTTCTAGAAAATCATGGATCTTGCAAATTATATTACTTGGAATCTTGATAATACATTTCCAAACTTTGAATGCCTCACGTTTTGCTATATAATAGAACGCTGTCACCTAATAACAACTGCCTGAACATGGTTTGTGGTAAAAACCACAGGTTTGCTATAAAAATGAAATGAGGGGAAAAAAACCCAAATCTGAAAGACCAAAATTATATCCTGCAAAACACAGATTCCTCTCTATTACTCATACACCACTGCTACAGCATTTGATTCCATCATAAATACATGAGGTCTCAGCGAAATACTGCTTTGAGCAGGAAAACTAATTTTAAAGATCTGGGACATACATAAAATGAAGAGGTTTGTCCTATTGTACCACAGTAATTGCTACAAAATCGGCCCTTGAACCTGAATCTCAAAATTGTAACTGGGACCTAACCACAAGGCCGTTACTTTCCTGATTAACAAGAGATGCTCTAAACCTATTTGCAAATTTACTGGTTTTGGAAGATAATTTCACCGGTGGGGACATGGGCTTTAGTTCACCAATACCTACCTTCTGCAGAAAATGTTTCACATACAATGAAGCTCTTCTGAGCACAAAGACATCACCTTAAGAAGCAGGGATTTGAAGAGCTGTACCTTTTATGCAAAGTCATGATTTGCATTATAATTAATTAATGAATAATCTGTGTAAAATCTATTCTGACAAGGACTCTGAATAGAGCACCATGGAAAAAACACATTCTTGGAACTTTCCAATTTATCTGTGCATCAGGACTGAAAAAAACCCCACCCTACTAAATGGTATAGAGCCAGTGCACAGCATAAAAGCTCTTAAACACCCAACAACTACCTTCTCAATTTGTACTTAAAGCTAGAAGGGACCATCTGATGTAAGACAGGCACAGAGCATACGTGCTGTGTTGCCCACTCACAAAAAGCATCTCAACTTTGTTTTTCGGTTTGCCCCTTTTCCATTGTTCCTTTTCCCACATTACTTGAGTGAAAAGAGAACGAGGTGTTTTTCCTTTGATCTCTACTCACCACTAAGGGGAAGGGAAATCAGAAAACTTTACAATTATTTCCTACCCCTATGCCATCTGCACTTAATTCTCAGCAACCCCAAGCTGTCCTGAAAACACGAGCTATTTGAAAGAGCAGACTGGCAACAGAGGAGGGAAGTTGCACTGATGGTCTCAGCCCTGTCCACAGCTCTGAAATTGTTTCAGGGCAAGGGGATGAGACCTTGAGGGCAAATGTTACTAAAAATACTTCTGTTTTATGACGGCACGGGTCTTTATGCAGCATTGGGCTAATAGCATACTACTGTCTTACACTGTCCCTGTAGCGGAATATGGGTTGGAATATGTAGCTTTTAGAAAACTTTGTTCTGACAAAGTTACCACGCACCGATATTTACGTTGCACTGAGCTGCTTAGATTTAGCAAGGCTAACAATTAATTAACGGCACGGTTTAACCATGGCAGTAAGTTTCTTCCAACAAACATTAAACTACCGAATACATCACCAGCTTTGTACTCTGCAACAAAATTCCTGTATTTTCACCTTGTCAAAAATCACATTGCTGCCTGCAATACAACCTGAAACAATGCCATCACTCCATTCCCTAGCTCAGTTACCAGAACCCACCACCTTGTTTTTACAAGCTGTATTAATACGCTCCTGTGAAACAGTGGCTTCTGACTAGAAACCCACTTCTCTACCTTCACCTCATGACTGCAGTATCAGCTTTAAAACCTGTAAACACACTGCAGCAGTGAATCACTCAAACTCAGAAACCTTAGAAATGTTACAAACTAAAAATTAATCAACAAAAATAAAACAGCTTCCAAAGGGAATTTGAAATGCAAAGTTACTTGAAACGTGCAAACCAGTAGCATTTACTCAACTACTCAGTATAAAGGTTTGCTCGTTGTGGTAAACTGCTGCATTGAACATCTTCAATAAGGCATTCCAACTACTGCTTGTCCATCCCTTGCTAGACACCATTCTTTAAGCCAGGAAGTTCAGCACTTCTAAACATGGAAGTCTGTCACTACTCTGAGCTCTGATGAAAAAAATCCAAAACTTGACACCATCTCAAACTAGAACTTTACACAGATCCACTCTATGTTCCAGAAAAATGGGGTATGAATGGCATTTCCCACACTAAAATAATCTTTCTACCACCTCCTGGACTGTGGTTTGGCATATGAGGTATGAGAATTCTCTTCCTGCCAAGACAACAGGGTTACAGCAGTTCCACATTCAACTAACAGGCATTAAAGCCTGTAAGAACTGTTGGATACAGAGCCTCTAATGTACAGCCACATGCAGTGATCCATGCTTTAAATGTGGAAAGACTAAGGCGATACACCTGCATTATAGAAAACATCACAGGCAGAGAGGGAGTGGTCTACAAAGCCACATTTATTTGCACATGTACAGAACAGAGCGACAGATGTTATTGTTTTCCATACAAAATGATGTAAAACCAGTATTCACCTTCATGGGTAACACCATACCACTTCAAGTTGTATTAAATACATTCAGAAAGCATTCTTGCACGCACACAACATTAGTATTTAGGTAGTCCCAGGTAACTCCAACACTGCAATGTAATTACTCCTAGTGGCATGAAGGGGTCAAAGATTAGTCTGCTACTAAAATAAGAGGAATCCTGGTTGAGAAGCAAGCTGAAGTCTTTCCTCCACTGGCCATCAACGCAAGGAACATCATTAAACAGATTAACTGTCTCCAGAACATAGATGTAAATACTACCAAAGCACCTGTAAAAGGCAGATAAGAGTGGTATTCCAGACTGACTTGAGCTAGCTTGGCCAGCGTCATCATTCCCATTTAATCGCAGCTTGCCTACGGATAGGAAAGTTTTATAAACTGAAAGACAGGATTGAGCAAGAGCTTGTGACTACAGAGAAAAACAAAAGGTATAGATCCAAATCCATCACTTTCCCTTCCTACCCAGCACTGGAGAGATTACTCCCTCTACTGAGTTTTGATTCCCATTTTTGCAAGGAATAGAGGGAAAAAACCAAAAACTTTTAACAGTTCCTGCAACACTGCCTCCCTACATATGATCTAAAAGGGGAATTTAATTGCCAACATTACATCTCAATTTATTTAAAACGCACATTTATTTCTACAAAAAAAAAGTGTATGATACAGAAGGATTGATCACACCTACTTAAAGGTTTACCTATTAAAATATACAGAGGATCTTAATGAGTACAGTTTTTTTTTTAAAAAAAGATGCAAAGGAGTGTTAAACTTTTATTTGTACATTTTCAGGAACTTCACATAATTTTGGTAAGTAACCTTTTACAAAATTATGTAAAAAGTACAAGAACGCCTGGTAAACAGTCTGCATTTTTCCAAAAGATTTTTTACAGCATGCAATTCTTAAGGCAGCCTTCTCCTCCTCCTTACAAGGAATCCTTTCACTCAAATAATCTTCCGCTGCAAAGATTAGGCTAAGGAAGCTTGGTCTCTTCTGTTAACGCCTTTTGTCTTTCCTGTCTGATTTACGGTCTCTTTCACTCCGGGAAGTTCTCTTGCCTGACCGACTACCTTCTGATATAGACCTCTTCCTGTCAGATCTTGAACTTTTGTCCTTTGAGCTTTTGGTATCTCTACTCCCACCCTTTGAGGACTTGTGACTTCTATCTACTCCTGAAGCATCCCTTCGCTTCCTGTCCGTGCTCCTTCTGTGTTTTCTCTCTCTGTTATGCCCTCTTCCTCGGCTTCGACTTCTACTTTCACTAGTACTAGAGCTACTGCTGCTACTGTCCCTGCTAGTACTTCCACTTGTAGTACTGCTGGTGGTGGAACTACTCCGACTGCTACTGCTGCCAGTGCTGGAACTACTTCCGCTAGTAGTAGTGCTTGAAGTACTACTGCTACTACTGCTGCTGCTGCTACGGCTGTGAATCTTACCAGTTTTGTTCCCTGCCCTCCCCCTGCTCCTAGTCTTATTCTTAACTTCTGCACTTGGTGTCTGACTCTGCTCTGTCTGTGCCTCAACCACCTTTACAGACACCATCGCGTTTTCATCCTTGTCTGGCTGGGGCTCTATATCCTGAGTGGACTGAGACAACTGAGGTGACTGTGGCAGTGGCACAGACTGCGGCTGAGACACAGCCTCAGCCACAGGTTCTGGCTTAGCTTCAGGTGCCTTCTCCTGTTTTTCTTCAGGCTCAGCTTCCATTTCTGGTTTGACGCCCTTCTCCTTCTCAGGAGAAGGAACGCTACACACTTTTTCTGGCTGAGCGTCACACTCTGTTACTGGTTCCACTTCTTTGCCATTTTCATTCTCTACAGGTTCTACACTATCTGCCTCATTCATTTCAGCCATATCCTGCTCATTATCCACTGGCTGAATGTTTTCATTTTCCTCTTTTACAACTGTGACCTCTTCAGGCTGACCATCCTCTTGCTTGTCATTCTCCCTCACCTCAGTCGTCTCTTCACCTTTAATCTCCATTTCATGTTTCTGTTCATCCTCCTCCTGTTCTTTCTCTGCATCGCTATGCCCTGAACCTATTTTTCCCTTTTCCTCCCCTACCTCCTCCATTTCTACATCATTGTGCTGATTACCTGTCTCCAACTCTTCCACCTGCTGAGCCGCCTTACCCTCTTCCTGCTCCTTGTTCTGTTCTTCCTTCTTTTCTTCACGCTGCACCTCCTGCTGTTCTTTTTCCTTCACAGATTGTCTTCTGGGCCTGGCCTCCATTTTGTTAATTTGCTCTGCAAATTCATTTCGCCTGCTTTCGAAGAGTGCTGGGGAATAAACGCACAAAGGAGCGCTTCAGATAACCGACAGTCATGGAACTCTACTTGCCCCTTAGAAGAACTCGATAACTTCATAGTTAACTTATACATCCTGCATCCTTACTCATTCTGAGGTAGCAAGCTGTTCATGCATAATGAAAGAGGCTGCTAGTTACCGTAAGAAAACAAAGCGAAGGGGATAGTCAGCTCAGCTGAGGATCAGAACAGTAAAGCCCTAAATCTAAGCTAACAAAAAGAAGGTCTGACTTCATTAAAAGCAATCCAACCAACAATATTATCAAAAGAATACCTTAATTTCCTGGTATTTACATATTAACAAGGTTATACCTCCTAAGGTAAACAAAAGACAGCAAGAATCAGCAAAAAGCTGGTTAGGTGTTAAAGAAAGCTTACACACTGTAAGCTATTTCAGACAGGTGAGCTAGCTTCTCTTATCCCCCAACCCCACATGGTGAAGAAAAGCTCCTTAGGCAGAAGAGAAAGCCAATACATTCTTAGTTTAATAAAAACAGAACAGTAGGACTACCATCAAATGCAGTATTTTAAATTGCTTTCCAAAAGAAAAATACAGTCATCCTGCGAAACAGAAACAAACACATGTTAAGGTAAGAAAACTTCATGATGTTCTAGGGCTGCACTTAAGCAAACACTTCCAGATCCTGTGTAAAAACCTGCGTTTCCTTGTGTCTTCAATCCACATCTTTTCAAAAACTACCTTGCTGCACTGGCATAGATCTGGGTACTAAAGGTAACGTAAGGGTCTGTGTTACACACACACCTCAGATCACGCATACACCTTCTTGTAAGAGAATCAAAGCATGTCCAACAAAGAAATAAGTTGCTGAAAGAGTCGCGTTCACTTACGATGAACAGTTTGTCCTAACCGTGAAATTCAGGCATTTAAGCAGAGACTTAAAAGAAATCCATACAGCAAAGGGAGGCAAGAACAAGGGCCTCTGTATCACGGGCCACCTACCATTCATCTTTTTCTGTGACTCTTCCATCAGCTTCTGGGTAGCAGGACACATTCTGCCAGGGATGTAGAATAAGTGGGGTTTTGTCTTCGTTCTTATGTATTTAATTATTTTAGCATTATGTTCATTCCATTCTTCTTGCTGAGAAATGAAAGACAATAACCCTCAGATACATAAGAATAATTTAAACAAGAGAAAGATCAAGAGCAAAGAACTGGAACTCACCAGCTGAGCAAGCTCGACCTTTTGCTCCAGCAACCGCAGCTCAGTCTGTTTAGCCCGTCTCTCTTCAAAGAGTTCGCGCCTTTCGTTTTCAACCTGCCTCCTTTCTTCCTCCGCCTGCACTTCAAGTTTTTGTTCGATCTCTTTTCGTCTCTTTTGCTAAGGTAAACAGAGAAGTGTCTTAAACATTTTTTTCTAAACCAAGAAAGTGTTCTAGTTTGGTCCAAACAAAACTGTTAATTATGTAGGCTATTAAAGGCATTCCTAAGAACACATCAAGTATCGCCAAAATGGAAGAAAAGAGTGTCATTGCTTCATGGCACCTCATTTTTTGTAGGTTAACTATAAAATTATGGACCCCAGTAGATTTCTGTCTGCTTTTTTATCAGTCAGTTTAGATTTGAATTTTCAACACAAGCTTCATTAGTTTGGGTTTTCCCCCCGCCTTGGGGTAGAACACCCCCCTCCCCCCCATTTCAGACATTCCACTTGGAGGGGTCAGCCAACCACTCTAGAAACAAACAAAGGCTGCAGGCTGGTGTTTATGACCAATAAAAATTACACTGCGGATACCTGCAGTACGTTCATCACTAATTAGATATACAACTGTAATCTAGGAATGCCCTCTTTGTATGTCCTGGGCAGCCATATGCTCAGGTTGTACAACAGCGGTTTAATAAAAACAGCATACACTTCAGTGCCTGGACAACAGAGCGCGCTATGCCTGTACTTTGATTACAGTACGTTTTTATGTATGAAGAGAACAATGCCTATACAAATTCTCAGAAAAATATTGCAAAAAAGCAGTAACTCCTCAAATTCTCTTTATGCAAAGACATACTACTTTAAATCAGACAAGGACTCCATGTTTCTAGACTGTCCTAATCAATAGTTTCTTGTTCTAAAGACAAATAGGCAGCAGAGAACTTTGGTCCTTTCTCATGTGCTACGTGACAAGTTAGATAAACCAGCAGGATATCCAAATACTGAATCTGAAAGCAATCAATACCAACACTGGAAGCCAGCTATGCTAACACCATGCAGGAAAGGTTTTAAGTTGGAAGACTTTGTTTCTACTCTCTGCAGTCTGGTGGAAGCAGATCATTCAAACACTTTAAAGGTTAGTATAATAACTGAATAACCCATTTAGGGCAAGAGTAAACCAATACCATTCCCATCACCATTTAAAAGGGCATACTAGGAATAAAAAGTTACCACCATCCTGTATGCAAGTGGTGTGTTTTTGTGGGTTTTTTGTGGTTTTGGTTTTTTTTTTTTTGGAAGTTACACTAAGCTATGCAAAGCCTTCCCTACAGTCACATATCCATTTATCAAAACCGGAATTCTTGTTTTCTACACTGGGAGGGGGAAGCCACCTGTAGTCAAACAGATAACATAATACCATCATACATTTCTATATGCACGGTTATAATCTAAACATCTGGAACACATCAGGGCAACACTGCTTCAGCAATACTGTCATCATTATTTACAAAATTAGCCTATGACCTATTAAACAGTTAACCTAATTAAATTCCATTTACTTTGAAATGATCCCCAAATAGCATAAACAAGAAAAAAGATAATATGTTTTGGTTTACATGTTTAAAAAACGCCACACAACCAAAACAGTACTTTTTCTTTTCTGCAATGGTCAGAAATAGTGTTGCAGAATCGTGAATTTTAGTCCCTTTCCTGCCTCCCAGCCCAATTCCACTGAACTAACACACCTACACGTACACTTTGTTGCACCTGCAACCTACTCCGTGGGGAATTTCATTCCCATTTCAGGCAGTTTAACCACACAATTCTGCTTTATTATTTACAACCTAGTATCTAGTAGAACCAAAAATAAGTACCCCCTCAGTAGCAACCGTGGACTCCTGCTTAAATTTTTGAAGAGTGCCCATCAACAAGCCAAATATACGCCGATTCCTGAAGAAAAAAAAAATTATTTTGAGTTCAAGTACTGAGATTTTTATTTGCATAAACAATCAGAGAAACTTTCCACCTCAGAGACGTTTATTTTTAAAGGCTCAGTATTACTTAAGGCCATTAGCAACAGAACACATAGACTGTGCCAGCAGTCAAGGATATAATTTGCAGTGACATATCATGTTTTGCTTAAGACACAGCTCTTATCCATAACACAGCACAGTTAGCCCTGAGAGAATTGGAAGTCTACACGTTTCACACCTGGAAATAATCACACTAAGGAAATAAATTAAAAAAAAAACCAAAACAAAACCAAAAGCAGAAAGTGCTGAAGGAAAGGTTGACCAAGTACAGCATGAGCTATCAATAAGGCAGTGAACTGGAAGGTCATTGGGCTTTCTGAAAAACATCCCCGCGCCGCTCAGGAGATAGAGGAGAAACGGAGCCACAGGAGAGAAAGCTTATCTGTTGCAGTCTGCCCAACAATATCATCTACAATGTGACACTGCACTGCGGGATGAAACTGGAATTGCTCTCATCCAGTTACATGTCGTTTTGGGAAAACTTAAATGAAATTCCTCAAGGAATTCCCTTCTTCTGAACAAGAACTAATTTCTTGAGTTTTACCCTCTTTCTTTCTTCCTTCCCATTTAATCCCAATTAGGCTTTTACAGCAAGAGGCAGACTTACTTGCCCTGAACTTCTACCCAACTAAGGGGAAAGGAAATGCTGCTCTCTTCACTCAGTACTACTCTACTACAGTGACACAAACCTGAGGCAGTAAGGTAAAAGGTACTTGTATACTGAACAGTAGAAGCAGGAACAAATAAAGAACTGAGAGGGAGAGATTGAGTGCTCAAAGTGTATTTGCATATGAATGACATCCCAGTAGGCACTGAGCAAAATCAGAGTTCAAGGGATGGTGTCCTCTTAAAGAGCCTCTTTCCACCACAAGTCACAAAGAGATCAATATTTTCTCATCTCTGCAGAGATTACTGAAGTGCAAAACAGTAAAACTACAGCTCTGAGGAAACAAACTTGTAGGGCTCTAGGAAGTCCACTCAGACTTTTGAAAGTCTTTCTGTGAGTCAAGCAGTTGGAAACTGGTGACGGAGGGAACAGCCGTCTGCTAGTGGTGGTGTAGCTGTAAGAGAAGCAAGCCAAGTGCCTTTTCTGTATTAACTGATCTGTGGTTTTCCCAGAGAAGCTCTCTGCAGTTCCTTATTCAAGCTCTCATTCTTCTGTTTGAGGTATGGGTTGTTACTGCTCCAGGTGAGCAGCACACTGAAGTGGGTGGAGTCCAAGAGGTTGGACACAGATGCAAATTTGCTTTTCCAAGACCTCTTCCCAACAGAACCACATTTCAACAAGAATTTATGTGAGCTACCTTGACACAAATAAAATACAGGAAAAAGAAGATCTGCATAGGAGGAATCTAAAAAGAAGCAGGCAAAAGGAAGGTCAGACTGGACACACAATAAAGAGTCTTAAAGCACTATGAGAAAAGAAACACATGGTGGAAGTTCTGCCTTTAAAAAGGGGAGGATGGGGCAGGAAGCCCACACCCAAAATCCTCCTTCAACCAACCAAATAAATGATGTACAGTTATAATTGCCCAAAATGTTAAGTAACCAATGCAGCTCTACGTATTTCTGTAACTCAAAGACGATCAGTTACAACGGCACTAGCAAACCTGCTCCTGTAGGTGGCCTGGGAAGTCGAACCTCTGTCAGTTATGTGAACCGTTACTGCTGTGAAGTAGTTCCACAGAGCACTTGTTTCAAATCCATTTTATACCATTATGGTACCTCTTCAACAACATCTTTGATAGCAAACAGCATTTGTATAACACTTTTTAAAGCTACTTCCTATGCTCACACTCAGTATTGACATTAGTGCTTAGAGAGAGACTTCTGCATACCTTTGTTTTCCTTTCTCATCCATATTTTGATCTTGTATAAGGTCTCGACGTGTTCGCTCTTTGGAGGTAGCAACAACAGAAGATGGCAACGCAGGCTACAATTAAAAAAAAAACCCAAAATACTTTGTTCATGTTCCAGATAAGTATGTTTCTATCTACACAGCTCCACTTATGTATTACCTTTTTAATATCATCATCCTCTGCGTCGCTTTCTTGGCGTGATTCTCTCCTTGTCCGACGTTCTCCACCCAGCCTGAAGAAGACAAAGCACTAGTGGTCACACTACTGCACATACATTTAGGACAGCATCTGTACTAACGTGAGAAAAACACTAGTCAGAAGAACCAACACTCCCAGTAAGAACTCCCCACTGTTTCCGTGACCAGCAAGAAGCATTTTACAGACTCTACTGTTGGTAAAAATCAGAGAGAGGAAACAGCTTAAGTTCCAATACAACTTGCAAAGTAAAGTAAAACAGAAAAGCTCACTTTACTACCATATTTAACTTTTTAAGAATACCTTTGGAATTTATTTCTTGGTTTTAGTGTTTGCACTTTTCTTTTTCCAGAATCACTAAAACAGCTACTGGTATAAGGGAACTGCAAGATGGATTTAAATGCATCCAGATCTAAAGGGTGGTATGATTTTTCAACTGGGAAACGCTATTTAAGTGATACAGCCAAATACCTAGAAAACAGGTGAGGAGAGGCAGAGCACTTGGGACCGGAGAACTTGGGTGAACTTTAACAAAGAACAACTAGGCAGTGTGTTATTTTCAGCACCACACTAAACCGCTGGTAAAGCCATTTCATGGTATTCATTTTGCATTAACTCAAAAATTCAAGAGCAAGCCTTGCTTTAGTCGAAGTAAGTACCCAGAGAACGAAGCTCACTGTGATCAGTCACACCTGACTGATCTGCATATGGATGCGAAAACTCAGATTTCGACTGTCACACTGTCTGTATTCAATTTGTTGAACAGGATACCTCAGTCATAATTCAGCTTATGAATACTGTAAAACAAATCGGGGCTACTAAGTTGGATGTAATATAGTAGACTGTACACCAAGTAAACCAGAAAATTCCAAGAATCTTTGTACTGCCGTATCTCTATATTATTGCTATAATTTTTATATTACGGGGGGGTGTGGGTGGGTGTGAGAACCAAGTTTCTCCAGTGAACTGCTATTATCCAAATATATTTCCAACGAGTCTTGACTATGTAATTTCTCAAGAAGACAGTGGAAGTCATCAGTTGTTAACAGTAATTGAATCTAAGTATTTTATATTCACTCTTACAAATTCTCATTCTGAGAAGCAAGTTCTTTGCATCAGTTTTTGCACCCACCTACTGGCTGCCCCTTCAAGATCCCTCTGTTTGGCTGGGGGTCCTCCTCCACTATCCGAGAATCCACGCCTAAAAAGAAAACACTTGTGATCTCAAAACAAACTCAGCTAACCCCAGGTTGACATTAAGCCTGTATAATCAAACAGTATTTTGGCTTTCTGGTCATGATGTCACCGTAAATTTTTACTCTGCTCTATCATAGTTTACTGTTACTACTGCAACAGAGTGATCAAACCTACCACTTGTGGACCAACTAATTTAAACTTGAAATTCTGCACTTATTCAGTTGAGTAGCTACACTCAAACAAGGAGCCCCATTATATTCAAGTGGTCATATTTGCAGCAATTTTCAAGATATATGAAGTCTTAAGCAGCAGTTTAGTATTGAAATTCAACAAGAAATCCCATGCATACTCCATTAAGAACTATCGAACATAAATTGGCCTTTTCATTTTAGTCGAGAAAGGAAAAGGAGGAAAAATGAAGGGGGAGGAGTAGGAGAAAAAGGAAGAGCCACAACATAACACTAGCAGTTTTATCTACATGCATTTTAAAGTTCCTGGTGACTTCAGCTCTTTCTGTTCTTCCTGGAAAAGCTACAAGTTCTTAAATTACTGATAGATTAATTTTGGGTAATTTCAAAGCAACGGGGTCCCAGATACCACACAGCACCTCCCCCTTCACTTAAGTGCTTCCCCCTACCTTCATTTTTCAGACTAAGGCTTGAAAGGGTTAGAGAAAACCACCAGTTTAAGCCTGTTTTAACTCAGAATGAGAGGGTACTTGGAATTTCAGGCTGTGACATAAACCCCAAATGCCCTGTAGGCTTTACTGCCTATTCACTGAAACAGTAACACAGTGGGCACCAGGGTCAGAAGAGAAACATAAGCCACCTGAGCTTAAGGCCAGCAAAAAGAGAATCCAGGGGGAAGGGGGCAGAAACCCCACTGCCCCTTTCTGCGGCTCCTTACCTTAGCAATAAGCTCCCGCGCCCTCTACCTCCACCCGAGCCTGCGAGGGCCAACAGTCTGCTCTGAGGGGGCCTGCAAGAGACAAAGGGTGCTGTTAGCGGTGCCTGCCCCAACCCACAGGCCGCTGCAGGGACCCTGCCCCAACCCACAGGCCGCTGCAGGGACCCTGCCCTGGGCACTGCAGCTCACCCACCCAGAGATTCCCGTGGCCATTCCCTCATGCACCCCACGGTCGCGAGTGCCCCTCTGTGTGGGGAATGATTTAGCAGGCCTTTACAAAAGCCCTAGCACAGTCCGGCTGGTGGAGGGGGACGTGCTGGAGCTTGTCGGCCACAGGCCTTGGGAAAGATAAAGATTAGGACAGAATGTCGTAAATCACAGGAGGTGAAACTAGAAAGCGGGACGATGTTGCCTTGTGATCTGTGGGTTGTGGAAACAGGATAAACATAGCTGCATGATAGAGCTAAAGATAAAGAAGGAATGTTAGCATTTTATGAGTTGA